GGAAAGCGGAGGTACGAACTGCCGCAGGGCCCCTGTGTCTCCTCGAGGGCGTCTGGCAAGGGCAGGACTTGAGCCGATTGAAATCAGTTGGTCGTTGGGGGACTGTATGCCCCTCAATGCCATCCTTGCTTTGAGACGGGACCAAACGAATCGCCGATTTAGTCCAGTTAGGGACACAGACGTGGGGAGACCAGTGGAGAGAGACGAGGACGTGGGGAGACAGAGAGACAGACACAAGAAGAACAGAGTCGTCCCCCCGCCCCGCCCCCTCCAACGCTCACCTCATCCTGGTCCCGCATGGCGTTCAGCTGCTCCAGCTTCTTGGCCCAGTAGCGCGCTTCCTCCTCAGGGATGTCTGGAAGCGGAGCCCAGGCTGTGAGTCTGGAAGCCCGCCCTGCCCCTCAGCCTCCACCCAGTGCACCCTGCAGGCCTAGGGCCTGGTCTCAAGGGGGTGGAGGAAGAGGAAGGGAGAACAGGGCAAGCTCCCATCCCTCCCCGCCCCAGGCCGCCTTGGGAATGAACGGTGGGTGGCCGAGGAGAAGCTCGTGGCGTCACAAAGGTGGGGAAGCCACGGGTCCTCGGAAAGATGGTACGGAGATGACTGAGCTGGGTCCAAGAAAGCAAGAGGAGCTTCTCTGTGTCTCTGTCTCTGTTTATCTCCACACGTCTCTCTGCCTCTGTCTCTCCTCGTATCCCCAGCTCACCAAGGACCAGCCCAGGACAGCTCAGACCCAAGCCCCATGGGTCAAGAAGCAACTGGCTGCCTGCTGGTGACCTAGAGGGCCTGGGACGTGCTCTGCGCACGGCAGACACATGGCCCGCTGCCTCGCTGCACCTGCGAAACTCTCTCTTCTGGAGAGAGGAAACTTCATCTTCAGAACGAAGGGCGGCCTGAAGCCACCCAGGCCTGGCCATTCTCCTGGGCCTGAGGAGGGTCCTGTGCCCCCCACACTCACCTAAAGGCAGCTCGAAGCGGGTGTCAAGGAGGATGCGGTGGAAGGTGGGGTCCTTGGTGCCGCAGATCTCGCTGTCCGCCATGATGACCTGAGAGTCCAGTGTTAGCCACTCTCCAGGGCCCTCCTGGGGGTTGGGATGGGGTGACAGGGCCCAAAGTGACACAGGGTGGAGCAGGGATCTGCCGCACGCCGGCCAGTGGGCCCCCTACTCTCACAGAAGATCCCCTTTGCCTCACCTCACTCTTACCCCGAGAGCAAGGGTCGTGCCCCACTTTACAGATGAGGCAACTGAGACTCAGAGAGAAGGTCCCAGTCCAGGGCCACGCGGTAGGTCAAGGACGCAGAGAGAAGGCCCTGTGGGGCCAGGTAGCAGGGGTCTGAAGCTCGCGTCGCTATTCCTCATCTCTGATGAGGCGTATGTGGCCCCCGCTTCGAATAAAAGCCCTGAAGCCCAGCCAGGGGAGAACCCCCACCCCAAGCGAACAAACCAGACCCGCCCTCACAGGAGACAGAGCCAGGCACAGGCACCTCCAGCCCAGAGAGTCAAGGGCAAAGCCAGAGGAAGGGAGGGGGCAGGGGCATCCCAAGGGAAGTTAGGGAAGACTTCCTGGAGGAGAGCACATCGGAGCTGGGCTTAGAGGGTGATGGAGAGGGTACTTGAAGCCCAGGGAACAGCACGTGCAAAGGTTCAGAGGCCATCTTTGGGGCCTATGAAGGGTGGAGGTTGGGGTGTGGGGGGAGCTGAGGCTGGCAATGTAGGCAAGTGACATCAAGAAGGCCTCCCAGTGCCTGGGGCGCCTGGGTGGCTCAGTCGGTTAAGTGTCCGACTTCAGCTCCGGTCATGATCTCACGGTTTGTGGGTTCGAGCCCCGTGTCGGGCTCTGTGCCGACAGCTCAGAGCCCGGGACCTGCTTCCGATTCTGTGTCTCGCTCTCTCTCTGCCCCTCCCCTGCTCGTGCGCTGTCTTTTAAAAATGAATAAGCGTTAAAAAGAAAAAAAAAAGAAGGCCTCCCAAAGAAGATGGGCAGAGATGGCAAGAAAAGGTCCCAGGGTGGTAAGATCCCCCTGGGTTCAGCATGAAGGGGCTGAGGGGAAGGGGTGAGGCTTAAGGCCAGGGGGCCAGGGAGGAGGCCAAGCTTATGGTCTACCGCCTCCGGGGCTGGTGCAGCCTTCCCCCTGCACAAAGTGCCCATTACCCACAATGTGTCCCTTCTCTCTCTTCCATCGGAATACATCTTCAGCAGGGCCACGGCCTATGTAGCTTAAGACTACATTTCCCCGACTCCCTTGCAGCTAAGGGTCCGCACGACTAAGTTCTAGCCAATAGGCGATGAGTGAAGTGCGGTGAGCCTCTTCCAGATGAGGCCCTTAACCAAGAGGGTGAGCCCCCTCCCTGGCCACCTTTTCTTCCCTTGATAGCAAAGCAGACGTAACGGAGATCCTCCAGCAGCCGTCCCTGGCTGCACAGAGAGAAAGGCAGAGCAACAGGATGGAAGTTTAGACCCTAGTGACTTTGGAGTCACCATCACAAACGTTGTGGGCGGACGGAGATACGCGTCCATCGTGTTTAGGCCCCTGGCCTCTGGGCCCCTCCAAGGCACTCTTCCCCAACCCTTGACCCACCACTCACTTCGTTGGACTGGCGGATGGTCCGCAGGGGAATCCACACGGTGCCCACCATTGTGTCCCAGATGAGACCCTTGTTCCACACCTCTACCGTCAACCCCAAATCCAGGCGGTTAATCTCACTGTGGAGAGAGGGGAGGGGCATGAAGGGGTAGGAGTGAGGGGTGAAGTCTCAGAAAAGTCCGTTCCCTGCCTTATCTTAGGACACACAGCCAACTGGAATTCAACCCCAGGCCTGGATGAGGCCTACCAGGAAGGTAACACAGTAATCTTTGTTTTACAGAGGGGAAACTGAGGCCAAGGGGTTAAGTTACATGCTCAGGGTATCACAGCAGAACCCGGGAAGGTATCACCTCTCCTGAACCCCCAACTCCCTTGGCTCTTCCTGGAGCCCTCAGGCCCAGAGATACTGGCTAAGGGAGGAAGAGGCTCAAACACTCTCCATGGCTCCCTATTACCCCAGGATAAGGGCATTCAGGATGCCTCCCTCCTTCGCAATGTCACCTCCATCCAATCATATGGGGACAACCCTGAGAATGTGAATGATACCACCTCTAGGCACTTTTCTCGCAGGACCCACCCTGGAAATAGGCAGATTGGGAGGAAAACCTTGGGGAATGTCCCCCTTCGCTGAATTTACCAATCCACCGGAGATTTGTCTCGAGGACTGTTCTCCTTGAGTGTATCTGTGACCTGGTCGTTCAGTGACTGGTTTCCAGGGGGTTGGGGACCACACTGTCTCTCCTCTTCCGCATCTTCCCTAGGAACCTGCAACTCCCACCCTTTCCTCAAATTCCTCTGCTCCAGGGTCCCAACTCTGGGTTCTCTCATGGCCTCCACCACTGCTCGTCCCCGGTCAGGCTCTGCTCGGGGGGTTGAGGGCTGCCTGGGTCCAAATCCCAGCTCTGCCAGGTATGAGCTGTGTGACACTGAACAGGTGGCTTTGCCTCTCCAGCCTCTGCCTCATCTGTAAAATGAGGATTGAAATAGCGCCCTCCCTCCCAGGCTTGTGTGTGTGTGTGTGTGTGTGTGTGTGTGTGTGTGTGTGTGGCGGGGGGGGGGTTGATTTAATCAAAGCCTTAGAAGGGGGCCTGGTATTTTGTGGGTCATCATCAGAGAAGATGGGGTGTCATACGGGGCGCCTGGGTGGCTCAGTCGGTTGAACATCTGACTTCGGCTCAGGCCATGATCTCACAGTTTGTGGGTTCGAGCCCCGCGTCAGGCTCTGTGCTGACAGCTCAGAGCCTGGAGCCTGTTTCGGATTCAGTGTCTTCCTCGCTCTCTGCCCCTCCCCCACTCAGGCTCTGTCTCTCTCTCTCTCTCTCTCTCAAGAATAAATAAACATTAAAAAAAATTTTAAAAAGGAAAAGAAATCACACAAATGACTAAAATAACACTTGGTGGCTAGACCTGAAACTGCCCACCAATTGAAGCTTGGGGCTGTGGTCAGGGAGGGCTTCCCTGAGGAGGAGACACCGGTGAGACCCAAAGGACAAGATGGAGCCTGCCAGGTCCGGTGGGAGCGGTGGGGGAGAGGAGAGAAGAGCAAGTGCAAAGGTCCTGGGGCAGGAACAAGCTGAGCCAGAAGAGATGGAGGCAGATGCTGGCAGGAGATCACAGGGGCCGGGCCTGGAAAGGGGGTGCTAGGGAGAAGAGTGTGGGTTTTGTTCTGAGGTTCACAAACCATGAGCCATGGGCAAGTTTAGAGAGTGACAGGATGTGATTTGCAGTTTTAAAAATATCCCCCTGGCTGCCCGGAGGAGAACAGATTGCCGGGAGGCAGGAGGCGGGCAGCAGCAGGAGGCCAGGGGAGGAGGCTGGCGGGCAGCGGGGACTTGGCTGGTGGCCACGGAGATCAAGAGGCAAAGCCGATGGCTGGACGCTGGACGCGGGGCTGCGGGAGGAGGGAGCGGAGTCCCAGACAACACCCAGGTGTCCGGCTCGCTCTGTGGGACCAGCAAGCGATGCGACAGGCCCTGCTAACTCAGTCACTGCAGACTCACAACATGAAATCCTGTTCCCAGCTGGGCTGGCTGCCCCGCACCGCGATGGTCGTGCTCTTGACATTTTGCACCTTCAGGGTCACATACGTGTTGAATTTCTCTGCAGTGGTGAGAGCAGGGGTCAGCACAGGGGCCCAGGGAGTCCCCATGCCCCTTCCCAAGCTCTAGACGACCCTCTTATAACCCCCTGGGGTCTCCGTGTGCTTGGGGCCACGGTCTAATAACCAGGTCCAATAGACGGAGCTGTTTCTGTGCCTACAGCCCAGGCTGACCCCCAGAGCCCCTCCCCCGCCCCAGTCCCTCAGAGCATAAGGGAAGAGCCTTGTGGGATTTGGGGGTGCCTAATCTAGCTGCTTAGAAATGACTACGTTCAATAGCTTTGATTTTTCAGATGGGAGGACTGAGGCCCTGGAGAGGGGAACCAAAATGACAGTAAGGGGCGCCTGGGTGGCTCAGTCAGTTGAGCGATCGACTTCGGCTCGGGTCGTGATCTCACAATTTGTGGGTTCGAGCCCCACGTCGGGCTCTGTGCTGACAGCTGAGCCTGGAGCCTGCTTGGGATTCTGTGTCTCCCTCTCTCTCTGCCCCTCCCCCACTCATGCTCTGTCTCTCTCTGTTTCAGAAATAAGTAAACATTAAAAAATATTTTGTTTAAATGACAATAAGAAATTCCCTTCGCCTCTCCGAGCCTCACTTTTCCCACTTGTAGCCTGATCTAGGAGTCCCAGCCTGTCTCTTAGGATCCTGGGAAGGGCTGTTGGCTCAGGGTGAGCCCCACCTCCACTGGATTCTCCAGGGGATGGCTGGGGAGACTCTGGGATCACAAGCCAGGTCTGACACTCTGTGATGCTCAGCAGACAGGCAGCCCAAGTCCCCTGTCACTGGCTCCGGCCCCCTCCCCTATGTCTCCAAGACACAGACAGACAGACAGACGACACAGGACAGGGCAGGAATAGAGGCCACTTACCTTGGGCACCATCAAACTTGGCTTTTTTGACTGTGGAGAGAGACAGAGATAGGGAAAGGAGATGGGGAGAGAGGTGGGGAGAAGAGAGAGACAAAGACACCGAGATGGAAATAGAACAAGACAGGCAGAGAGGACAGGGACACAGAAACAGAGAGACAAAGAAAAGCAGAGACAGAGAGCAAAAGGGACCGATGGAGAGATCAAACAGAAAACAAAAACGAGAGAGAGAGAGAGAGAGATGAAATCAGAGACAGAGACAAGAAGAGGAGAAACAGGAAGGAGAGGAGGGAGGCAGGGATGAGAGGGGGAGAGAGAAGCCATCAGACAGATGAGCATAGACAGACCTCAGGGTTGAAGGAAATTTGGACCCTGGGAGCAGTTTCTGCCCCCTTTCCCTCCCCATCAAACTCCCCCCCAAGAGCTCCCCCACCTCTGGCTGTGCCTTTCCCCACAGTTGAACAGGATTCAAAAGAAGGAGCTGGGCAGGGCACAGGAGAGGCCTCCCACAGGAAGCCCTCCAGGATTGCAGCAGTGAGAGACCAGTTAGGGAGGAAGAGAGGTGGGGAGAGAGGAGAAAGGCGATCTCCAGTGACCCCCATCCCCCTGTCAGGCCACTGAGGCTTCTCCCCCAATTATCCAGCTCAGTCTGTCCTACCAAATGCCCCACCCCGGGGGTTGAGGTCTCATGTTCAAACGGGACTGGGCGACGTCGCACAGAACCGCCCCGAGACCTGGCTCCCTAGCGCACAGAGAGACATCCTAACCCCCGCCGGGAGGTTGTTACGGCTTGTCCAGCCCAACCCGCCGATGAAACGTGAAACCCAAATACGTGTCGGGTCCCAGGTGGTCCAGTCTCTCCGGGTTTCACGTAACCCCACAGTCCCAAGGGAGTCAAAGCAGTGCCACTGTTCCCTGGGTCTTCTCACGGGATACAGAACTTACATTCAACATCTCTCACACCCTGCAGCTGCCCCCGACATCCTTCCCCGCCACCCACTCTGTATCTCCACCCAAACCCTGCTTCCCCACTGAGCCCTTCCGCCTGTTTTCCACCATCCTTTCCCCTTGTTCCTTTTCGATGTACGTTGTGGTTCCCACGGGCAACACACGCACCTTTTGCAAAATCCAAGGCGCCCCAGAGATTGGTACGCGACGAGAACAAGGCTCTTCCCACCCCAGGCCCCGCAGTCCCCGCCTTGTGCAGTCAACACTACCGGTTCCTTCCAGGGCTACGGGCACACAGTCTGTGATCCAGCAGCCGTGTGCACTATTTTACTTCCTACGCCAATGGCAGCGTTCGACACCCTCTGTAGAAATTTGCTGTCTCTCGGGACGGACTGAAGAGTTTGTGCAAGCGAGTCGGAGGATAAACTCCTAGAAACAAAGTTGCGCGGGTTGCTACTCTTTCTTTTATTCTGAGAGCCAAGTTCAGCCCTTTTGTGGGCAAATGCCATGGCCTCCCATCTTGGGGTCATATCTCTGTCCACATCGCTTGAATTTCTGTCTTGCAAAAGCGCCCAAAAGATACCAGTGAAGGGAGAATTCCCATCAAGGGTGGGGGTGGGGT